TCGTTAACAGTATCCGTTCCATACATGCCGTCCTTCTACCATAAGATTACCGTGACAGTTATCGCTAGCGACCTCGTAAAATATTTATAAATAAAACATAGTTTCTTCTTGTGACCGCTAAAGGCGCTGTAAAATTTGCCATAGAAAATTGCGAAGTGATTTACGCGGTCGCTAGCGACAACTAGACTTCGACTTCGTACACAGCCTTTGATAAAAAAATCAAAATGAAACATAGTGTATTTCTTTTAGATTGCAGTGACAATACAGAAACACCTGATAATTTTAAAATTGTAACAGTTTCACATTGATAGAATCAACTTTTCGAACTGAAGTTTACAAAATTTACAGTATCGCATAATCAACCTCACTCACTAGATAAACCTGTATTAGTAGAAAATTAAAACAATGAATGACAAATATGACAGTCGACGAATTTTTTATTTTCCAATTAAAACTAAAATAAAAAAGTGAAATCAACGACCAGACTTTTGAAAAAAACACAGCATATTATTGGGGGTTTTATTAAAATTCCGCTAAATATGTCGGTGTGTGTTTAACCTTATCAAGTCATCAAATTTTGATGGAAATTATTTACAATGGTATGGTATTAGAAATACTTCCCATTTCTTTTCCTAAAATCTCGGCATAAGAATTTATACTGGGTTATCTGTAAAATAACAACGTCACAGAACTATAAAGATGTTTTTATTAACTTGTTTTTTTTTTCAGTAACGGCAAAATATAATGAGTACTTGAAGATAATAGTTAAACAAAAAGCCGATTGGTGAAACTTTTATCAATGGGTTTATTTCATATTTGCACAATTCTTAAAGTTGTACTGGCACATTTGTTTACATTTTTGATCGGAAATTTCACCGCGGAGTATTAGGGGATTACGGACGTGAGTTTGTTGACAAAAATTAAAATGGAGGATTTCAATAGTGATATGAAAGTCAAGTCAAAATTGGAAATCTTAAATGTTCTGAACACAAGCTACAAGTAACATCACTGATTTCACTTCGACATCAAGAAATTAACACACTAAGAACCTGAGTTAGGCCTGCGTCGATAATTGGTTGCAGTCGGTGTCGACTGCATGCAGTTGCATGTATCGACTTCGCGTATGCAGTCTGTTCAGTAACAGCCTTACTGAAACCAATCCCAAACCAAGTTCCCTTATAACAGTAAAATTATGATTAATTTTACTTACGAAACACAATTACGTACGTAGGTAGCTGAAATGATAATACCATATAGTGTTAAACGTACAAATTAAAAACAATCTATTTGCATTTATTTTGACTTACGAGTTATGGCTTTATGACGTACGCTTATTTAAAATTGCTCCTAGCGTCAATCCGCGAAAAATTGACCAATTAAAGGTATATGTATTACGTAGTGTATAACTCCCACGTGACTGCGAAGAAAACCTTTTCAACCCGTAATGGGCAATTAACCTACTGAGAGAAGTAACCCTTCTTTTCCTTTTTATATTTTGTGAAGCTGACATGGCTAGAACCTTCGTGATTTCTAGTCGCAAAGGAAAAAGAAATCGTATTTCGAAATGCTATTTATGTCTATTCATGCGTCTCACTTCGAATGCGGTACTTATCAAGCTTGTCGGTGAACTGAATACTGTCTCATCAATTTTGTCTCTGCATTGATACAATCCTTAGAATGAAAAGGTCTCTTCCCACCTTGAACCTCTACGACTGCGTAGAAATGTTACGTCGCTTACCGTCTTTCAAAGAATTTACCATGGCGAGTCCTCTGAAGAATTATTCAACCTTAAATCGTCGACCCCTTCAATCGACGAGTCGACAAATGGAACTCCTTTCCAGCTCACGTATAGCCTCCTTCTTACGATAAGGAGTCCTTCAAAGGAGGCGCGAACAGTCATCTTGTAGGCAACCAAAGTGGACGTGGCTGTGACAGTGATGGTATCAACACTGCAGTAGGTGCCTTCACGTTTGGAATCCACTTTCTATTTAACGCCAGGTAAAGTGGAGTTTTTGCCTGTCACGTTTAAAATAGTTATTTATTATGCAAGGCTGCAAAGTTCTTGTTTGACGCGAGTGCTTGTATTGAAACCTGAGCGCGCGAAGGAAGTTAAAATTATATTATATAAGAAATAGATTCCTCTACGTAGCGAGGGTTTCAAGCCACGAGACGCAAAACGACTCTGCTGCCGAGCGAAACACTTTTCCCCTTACTATAACGACGAAAATGGTATATGAAACAATTGAACTATAAAACATCAGTTTTTCTAAATAAGAAAAAGTTTTTTCTTCGGATGCGTTCTGAATTTACACCTCGTCAGTTTTTATTCTTGCTTGTACTTTTATTTAGTATGACAAAGTGATTATTAAAATTATTTTAGTTCTTCGATGAATTAAAATAATTTAATAAACACAATTAGTTTTCATTGTCAATTTAATGTCAACAATAATAAAAATAAAATACATCAACGGATTCATATTACATAAATAAGTATGTACGACAAATCGCATAGTTGAACGTGTCATGTTTTTTTTTTTTCATCAAAAGAAAAAGTTAGGTGCACCACTGTCCATCGTCCTCGAATTTCAAAAATCTTTTGCGCGCTATTTCTAATAAGAAGGAAAGCCTTTCCGAGATAAAGAGACGAAAAATGGTTTCACTAAATATGCTAAATAAAGTATTTTAAATAAAAAATCTGTAAATTAGATAGATAGACAGACAGATGTGTCAACGAGTGCAAACTCTGAGGGTCTAGCTTTAATTAAGCTAAGTTCCTGTCTCCTATCCACCTTCCTGCTGCGCCATTAGACCCTAGTCATCTTCTTAGCCAAACTTGTTGTCGAGACCAGCTTAATGGGCTCAAAAACAATAGGTCACTGTATACTATCTTCGTCACGGCATCAGATCATGGTCACATATTATTGTAGTATCATCGTATATACATAGTTTATCAAATTTCTTTACGACTGTCCAAACGGATTTAAGTGTAAGTGAAATAACATTCATATTTAAGGCTGAGATCCTACACTGACTGGGAAAAGAGCAGATAATCTTTACAGCCTAGTACATGTGTTCGTCATAAGTAGCAATACAGCTCCTTGTGAAAGAGCTAATTCGTCGTCAAGGGAATTAATGCCACCCTACCTATTTCTGCCGCCAAGCAGTCATGTAGCTGTATTCCGATTTTGAAGGGGTGCTGGTGAAATTACAGGCACATGGGACTTGTCATCTAATGTCTCAGGGTGACGGGCGCAGTGGCAGTGGCGCAGCTTGCAATTTAAAGCTCTAAGTGGCACTGCAACTGTTATGGACAGGCGTGTAGGTTACCATCAGGCGCACGACTTGTTCGTCCCGTCCCTCTACGGTTCGGGATGACACACACAACGTACAGGCAGACGATCCATAGACACACAGACAAAGGCTTTACCCGTATAACTCCCCTCTTTTTGTATCGGGGTTTAATAAGAGAACAAAAACTATAAAACCGAACGTGATAATTATCAACCAGTAAAGTTGTTACTTTACTTGTTGGTAATTATCACTTAAATTGTTATTTAAGTCAACAAAATCGATAACGATGCCTGTCGCAACTCATACTCAAATTACTTTTAATTTAAACAACAACAATTTTCTAACTTGCAAAGTTCGACCTTGTCGCTGATGGTAAAACGATCGGTTTATTCACAAGTTTCTATGCTTCAATTTGTATTCATGTAATAAATTTTGAAAACCATAACTTTACAAATGTACGCATGTTTCAGAGATACCGGAAATAACTTCTACGTCTTTTCAAACTGCCCAGTCTTCCACAGTCCGCGTTATTTAGTCGCTCTTCACCTGATGGCAGTACTTCTTGACCTACCTTCGAGAACCTTATAATTTTGAATGAAGATCATTTGCCAGCATTTTAAGGAAACTGACAGAGATATACTCAGAGGAGCTTCATAAATAAACGAAAGGGTCCCACTACTATCACTGAGATTTGCAAAACGGCGACTAAATACTAAGATGTACCCTAGAATATTCTTGAAAGCGACGTTTTCAACATGGCAAAGAATATAGTGTCTTATGGTTAGAGAAAGCCAAGTAAACGAATTCAATAATGTTTGAAGAATGAATACAGAAAAAAATATCTTCTTGGCATTTGTTTTCTACATTTTGTTTAGCTACATGAAGCGCATAATTAATGCGATAATGGCAAAATATTTATCTTCGACCGAGTTCAATGAACATGTCAATTTATTGGTAGTGACGACTGATTGTGCAAATTGTGATGCGAGCAATTTGCGGTTGAATCCACCTGGCAATAGGGTGTGCTGCGGTGCTACAGGGATTTGAAGTAATTTAGTGGACTAGACCGCTCTATTTCGGGTTTGTTTGGTAGCTCCACTTCTGCACTTCCCGTGACAGATGCTCTGTAATTATCCGAAACTCTGTAAATTAAATTCTCTGCCTCTTATATTGTTTATACACAGTAAAATACTCATTACTGCTAAGTTAAGGTCGGTGATCGATACCTATGTCATTTTAAGTTTAAAAGTATTATAATTCCGTGTGTCATTGACTTACAATTATATGGACGTCGGGTCCGCGCTAAAAGGTGTCCGAACTTATAAGGCGTTAAAATCGTATGCAGAGCGTCATTCACGCTTTAGTCTTCGTTTGTTCGACTGACAGCGAAGCAAGCAAAATTAGACAGTACTGCGATGACATTACAATTTAAATTCAACGTTTTAGCTTTTTCATATTCCTTTACATGTCACTACGTTCAAATAGGTTGCCTTGGGACATTTTTTTCGTGGTTTTTGTATTAAACCCGTCGTCCATTTATTTGTAAGTCAATGTCTATAGTGAATAGAGTACTCTGTTATTTATGCAATTTACTTAATCGAAAACATACCCGCATATAGAGAGCTGAGTGGCACTGAAACTGTTATGAACAGGCGTGTAGATCAGGCGCACGATTTGTTCGTCCCGTCAATTGATATTAGAAAAAAATGCTACGGCGTCTCCAGCGGCGAATACTTGCCAGGTGAAGCCTGAAAACCACATTGCACACAACAGCACATTGCTCAGGCTTTACCTTCTGTTGGACACAGTTTTAAGCAATTATTGTATTAAATGTTGTATTTTTGTATTGAAGAATAAAGTCTTTTTATTTATTTTTATTATTATTGATTAGGTTTCAGTTCAATTCCGTGTGTTAAGTAACATGAAGGTCAATTATTTATATCTCGTCAAATTCTGAACGCCTACAGACAGTATAGTAAACTTTACCCTTGTTGAAAATTAATCCAGATCACCCCTGAGTGAGAAGCAAGCGATGATAGCTATTCAGATACTCGTCTTTAATTAATCTTGATCGTGGGCTAATACAATGTGTTTATTTATATGTTACCGTATTGATTTTTCTCACTTCGAAAGGTCAAACAGCCTTATATTATTAACGCATTTTATCATCACAGCTCGGCGTTAAAAGTTATTAATATCTTATAAAATATATGACACTTATGATCTAATAATTACATTGTAACATACATATCGTAGAAAATGTCTGGAAAATAACGCACACGCTCTTAGCCCTGGATTAGGGAAACCCTGCATCGCTGGTACCATGGACACACACATAGACAACCACAAACTACACCCAAGCTCACGAGAGAAATAAATGTAGGTCATACAAATATTTCTGCGTGGCAATCCAGCATGATAACCGTTCGGCCACGGAGACAGTTACAAAAACTTAGTACATCGAACGCAACAGCTATGTTTTAAATATCGCAAGTGATAAAGGGATCATCAGCATGAAAATGAGTTCAATGTTTCGCATTTATTCCGTAACTGGCAAGATATGGACAACGTACTGTTTGCTAATGATGCGCCTGCGATTAACACCAGATTTCACTGTTTCGCCTCAAAACGGCTCGCACTTCATTTGTCTCGGTTTGCTAAATATTGTGAATCATGGCGCAATCTCCGGCCTTATAATTTTAGCACAGAAATGGCTAACATCAAAAATTTATTCTGCAATACAGCGTTTAAAGTTACATAACATCTAAGTGTTTCCTTAATGTGCTTGTTGCAGATAACAGTACAATAGTTTTACATTTGTGCTCGAGTAAATAAAATAAAAATATTAATGGTCGTAGGTAGTCAGGTACTTTTATTTACATTTGCTTTTTCATGACTCAAACAGAAATTAAATTTATTTTATATTAAAATGGATTGTCAAAATGAACTATTTTAGGTGCTTAATGAACAACTCTTCAGCAGGAATAAATACCATCGTTATCAAAGATGTTTAATTCAATATTATGATCTCATTTTTGAGTTACTACAAAAATCGAACTACAGGATTAGTACTATTACGGGTATGGCAATCTATTATAAATACTAGTTTATTTCATTCAACTCACTTCATCTCGTAGATTTAATGTCCTTAACCAATCGCTCATTTTCGATCTGGCTGTTCCTCGCATGCCGAGCCCAAAAGGCGAGCTACCGGTCGTCCGTAAGTAAAACTGTCCACTGGTTACACTCGACGACCCATACCCTAGAACTGCATAATCATCCGTATCACACGCATTTGCCATAAAATGCTTCCAACTTTTACAACGAATACCTATGAAAGATTTCGGAGTTTTTATGCTTTGCGCGTATACTTCAGCAGCACGTAAATGACAACAGGTAGGCATAACACAACCCGGCTGCATGGGCCCTCCACCATTAAGATAAAAATCTGCGTGACCCAAAGGCTCGATCACACCTTGCACTAGTCTATTTGAGTGAATCACATCCACATAACTTGCGTCCGTTTTATCCAGTCTTTGACCACTGTGCGCGTATGAGAAGCATGGTCCGGCAGGGTCAAGTCCTGTTATGCGACCTAAGCGACGTTTTTTGAACTGCCGAAAATATTTCCCTGCCCAACCTGCGATGTGAGCTCCCAGACTTATACCAATTAAATGAAAGTCCTCGGCGTTCGCTCCAAAATCTTCTAAGTTGGCGAGTAAGTTAGCGAGTCTCTTGCCAATAAGAGGAGCGTTGTGAACGCATTTAATATATCCTTCATTGAGCATTGCCTCAGCGTCGAGAAGTAGGACATTGAACATTTTCTTATCGTTGTAGGCATGACCCAACTCTTGCGGCAGGGCGGACTGAGAGCTGTCTTTATATCCATGGATCACAACTTTAGTCTGTTTCGTGATATCGTATAAAGCAGGTTGCATGAGAGCAGCGAAAGTTTCGTTGATTGGGAATGACATTACCGCGTTGTCGCCTAGTACAATTATTTTTAATGTCTCCAATAATTCCGTCTGGTCGCTCATTAAACCCTGGTGCAGGTCTGCGATCGCTCTACCTGTAAAGGCGTAAAAATCCTTTCAAGGTGGTAATGAGATATATATTTTACCCTGTAAAAAACATTAAAGGCTTGCAAAAATAGTTACAGATGAGAGACACGTTGAAAAATAAACGTGTAATATACTTACACGCTCCAGAGAAAGTTATGTAAACGGATTCCGCGAATGACAACCCTGACTCTGAACGTCGATTTTGAATAGTTTGCGAGTCTGCTACAAGGACACTGCACAGTAAGAACGTAATCAAGAGCATAAGGCAATTGTGGTTCATGGCGGCTTGGCTATCTGTTAGCCGGCGACCCTCCGCTGGCAACACGGTCACTGTGCCACTGCCACCGGCCGTCGCTCCAAGAGAAAGGTCCGCCAAACGTTCTCGCCACGCTGCCGCTGAGAGAGGGGGCTATCTAGTACAATTTTAAATATCGGACATTGATACCGCATAAGGTCACGGAATGGCTTATTGTTTTTTTTTTTTCATTTATGGTCATACGTTTATATAACAAAGTCAAGTCAAGGAAGTTTCATGATTATTTTTATTATTTCTTGAATTTTCTTATTAACCCAATGAACTAAACGTTTTTTTATTGGGTCTGTTTTTATTTTCGACTTTTTCTCTTACTCTTGGCTAGATTTAATTGTGATCGTTAATGTTTCTTAAATATCCATAATTATTTATTTCACATTTATCCATCTTTATTACCAAATCAAAATCATAAATCCTAGCAAAACCTATTACAACATAGGTTTAAAAAAAATACTAAACATAGTATTTATATTCTCTCTGAATAAATACTCTAGAACAATGATATTCTACAATATGTTTCACTTCTCTCTTGCGAAAGTTGAAAGTTGACATTTTTTTAATAGTAGATATACTCATATCACATCGATCTACATTCAAAGATCAAATCTCTAAGGCTCAAGTCACAATGCGGCAGAGTCGAAACGCCGTGTCGCGTCCTGTTTTTCAACTACAACTCTACAACGCCGGGCAACGCGCGTCGATGAGCGTCGACGCGTGTTGTCGCGCGACGACGCTCGCATTAGTGCGCCCGGATCACAGTGTGGTCGGCGTCTGGCGCTTCACTGCGCTCAAGTGACGCTTCGCTGCGCTCAAGTGACGCTTCGCTGCGCTCGAGTGACGCTTCGCTGCGCTCAAGTGACGCTTCACTGCGATCAAGTGACGCGCGGCGACGCGCGTTGACGCGCATCGGCCCCCGTTTCCATATTTGCATAACACAAATTTGTACCTCAATAATGGGAATATATTAGGGGTTAAAGTATGAAATTGCCGTTTTATTGCAATAGGTTCTTGGAATTTTCATAGAATCTTCATGGTTTGAGGTTTTCGAATGAAACTTTTTTCAAATGGTTTCTGTGATTTTTTTTTTTAATTTGAAACATTTGAATATCGACTTTCAATTGTTTTTGTTATTCAATTTAGACAAGAAGGAGCAGAGAGATTAGAGAAAGATGGATACTGCGAAAATTCGAGTGATTTTTGAATACGAGTTCCGACGCGGAACTAACGCGGCAAAAACAGCCCGCAATCAATGCTGCGTTTGGAGAGGGGTCTACTAATGAACGCACCGTGCGATTTTGGTTTAAACGCTTTCGTGATGGAAATTTCGACTTAAAGAAAGAGCCACGAGGAAGACCGCCTAAACAGGTGAATAACGATGAATTAAGAGAGATAGTGGAAGCCGATCCTAGTCAAACTACCCAGGAATTAGCGGCATGGTTTAACGTTACCTTACCCACAATATTGACTCACTTGCGTCAAATCAATAAAATAAAAAAATACGAAAAATGGGTGCCTCATGATTTGACTGATCTGCAGAAAGAAACACGTGTTGAAACTTGTGTTGCCTTGTTGAACCGGTACAGAAATGAAGGAATATTGGATCGAATTGTAACATGTGATGAAAAGTGGATTCTTTATGATAACCGGAAAAGAAAAATGCAATGGCTGACCCCAGGTTAAATGCCACAACAGTGTCCTAAAGCAAAACTTACCAATAAAAAGGTAATGGTAACTGATTGGTGGTCTCAGCATGGTGTTATTCACTATAGTTTTCTCCGATCTGGTCAAGCAATAACGGCAGATGTCTATTGTGCCGAACTCCGAACCATGTTGACAAAACTAGCAGTAAAACAGCCCCGACTCATGAATCGATCTTCACCATTATTGCTCCACGACAACGCGAGACCTCACACAGCACGAGAAACCATTTTGACCCTTCAGGAACTGCAGTTAGAAACCATTCGTCATCCTCCGTATTCACCAGACCTTGCTCCAACGGACTACCATTTTTTTCGTGATTTGGACAATTATCTACGTGACAAGAAGTTTTCTTCCCAGGAGGCAGTACAAAATGCTTTCACACAGTTTGTGCAGTCTAGATCGTCGGAGTTCTATCGCAAAGGCATTAATAACCTTCCCATTAGATGGCAGCAATGTATAGATAATAATGGCAACTATTTTGATTAAATAATATTGTTAAAAATTTAAAAAATAAACAATTTAGATTTTCAGTACAAATCGGCAATTTCATACTTTAACCCCTATTACTATAGGCGAAAAACATGACGCGTCGCGACGCTTCGACTCTGCGCCAGTGTGAGTTGAGCCTAAATTTGTACTAATAACCATTGACCTACCAACTAATAACAAAATTTTCTTGTTATGGATAAGCGTCTCGCTTACCTCCGTCTCACGGCTTGTTTTAATGTGCCAACGATATCAAAGTTAATGATTGGGAGACTTTCCATTCGTTTTTAGTAAAGCGATCATTAGTATATATTTAAATAGGGCGCACTATAAGTTTCCGGAACTAGCCACGTACATAAACAATATTTAAAAAGTAATTACAACATTTGAAAATGGAACTCTTCGACTGTAGAATACAGTTTGTTTCATCTGACTGTCACTTGTTTTTATTGTTATAATATGGCGTCATTTTAGCAATTGGTTGTCTACATCACCATGGATTTAACTCGTGAAAATTTTCGTAGTATGATTTTCTACGACTTGAGTATAACTTAACAGGTCAGCAGAGCTTCGCTCGGCTTCAAACTGCTTTTGGTGATGAAGCAGTGGCATAAATGTTTTCAAAAATGGTTTATTCGTATGAAAAAGTGCATTAACGGTAGCGGAGAATATTTTGAGAAACAATAAACTAATTTATGACTATTTATAGCATTTTCTTCTTATTCATTCCGGAAACTTATAGTGCGTCGCACGTACGGATCTTGAACTTGGAATAGGTTATGATGGGCTAATCACAACTCACGATTGCTTGTAGTACAACCAAAATCTTTTGTTTTTATTTAAGTGTTGTAAATCATCATAATATCTTGTCCAAATATATTTTTTATGTAACTTTTTTGCTCAATACAATAATGTACAAATGGCGGACTTAATGCCATAATGCGTTGTCTACCAGTCAACCACTGGGCCAAGAAAAAAAAAGAAAAGGTTGGTGGCACACCTAAAACAGAAAAAAATATGATAAGCATCAGCCAAAATTTTAACATATATTTTTACGGTAAAGAAATAAATATAATACAGCATAAGCATACTTATATAATAAACAATATATATAAATATATATATATAATATTACTGGACTTCAGCAGTGCTTTCAAGTCTGTCGAATATGACATCCTGCTATCACAATCATCTTACTTGAAAGCCACATATAGAGAAATTAAAATCTAAACTGCTGCGGCGGGTGCATTGTGTGGAAATGTGAAATGCTTCCCTAAACAAGTACGCTATTTTATCTACAATTCTCTTATAAAACCTCACATTCATTATCTGATTGAAGTCTAGAGAACTGCTAGTAAAAGTAATCTGAAAGAGATTCAGATTAAACAAAACAAGTTAATTAAAATACTTTTCGGGTATAATTCTTGCACACCTACGGATAAAATATATAAAGAAACAAGAATACGATAATAATAAAACGATGTCGAGTACACATAAGACTTGCATGCTAATAAGGAAAATCCTAAACAACAATATAAATACTGTCATTCGTTTGAAATAGAAATCTCAACTGTAGAGTATTAAACTACGATGAAGGTGCTAAACTGAACAATCAACTGCCAAATTACATTAAAAATGCAAAAACGATAGCTGGATTCAAAAATAAATGTTTAAGCAATGCAAATGCTTAATGCTTATTCATTCTTTCACAACCACACAACCCTCACAACACAACCATCAATATATATATATATATATATATATATATATATATATATAATTTTCCTGAACTTCAGCAGTGCTTTCAAGTCTGTCGACTACGACATCCTGCTTGCTATTCTCCACTCCAATAGCATCTCCTGGCTGCGATTGCCTGGTTCTCAGACTACCTTCACAATCGCCATCAAAAATTCAATAATAATGACTCTTTTTCTGAATGTTCTCCTTTCATTTCAGGTGTACCACAGGGTAGCGTACTCTCACCTCTTCTTTTTTCACTATTTATAAATGAGCTCTCTAAATTAATTTCTTTTCCAGTCCACTTATATGCAGATGACTTGCAAATTTATCGACATTTTGATAGAGCCGATTCTCACTCTGCTATTGAAGCTGTCAATAGGGATCTTCTTGTGGTGAAGTCGTTAGTTGACGCGTTCGGTTTGCTTGTGAATCCTACGAAGGTAGCAATACACTGTATTGCAGGTTGGATTTTAATAATCTCCCCAAAGTTTCGTACGATGGAGTGAAGCTTGAATATACAGATAAAACAAAGAATCTTGGCCTAATAATTGACCATACATTGTTCTGGAGACCACAGGTAAATGAAATTAGTCGGCGTATGTGTGTTAACTGCCTCCGTGGCCGAACGGTTACCATGCCGGACTGCCACGCAGAGGTCCCAGGTTCGATTCCCGGGCCGGGCGAAATATTTGTATGACCTACATTTATTTCTCCCGTGAGTTTGGGTGTAATTTGTGGTTGTCTATGTGTGTGTCCATGGCACCCGCGACACAAGGTTTTCCTAGTGCGGGGCTATGTTGAGTGTGTGCGTTATTATTATTATTATTATTATTATTATTATTATGCACTTTGCTTACATTTCTCACAAGCGGCTTCAATTTTTCCTGCCATTCAAAACCAAGGTCAGGCTTACTCAGTCCTTACTACTTCGTCTTCTTGACTATGCTGATGTTTATGTTTTATGGTTATATGTTTGTTATTTGGATGCAACTGAGGAGCTACTTAACAAACTGGAGCGCCTACAGAGTCTGGCAATACGTTTTATATTTGATCTGCGTAAATATGACCATATTTCTAAATTTCGATCTAAATTAAAATGGCACCCTATCCGACTTCGCAGAGATTTGCATATCCTTTGTCTTCTATACAAAATCCTACACTATC